TCCAACCAAAGTAATTCTATGATTCTAAAATTTATACTGAAAAATGTGGAGGCTAGTCTAAAAAGATCCTCCTTCTGGCATGTACTTTTACTGAAGCAAATAGTTATTTAAACAGTTCTAATTTTTACATAAATTATTTTTTAAAATTCAAAGAAATCTATTCTACAGAAACTATTAAACAAGATATAAGAGGCAGGAAGGCAGTGGGGAAATGTCTAGTTTCATTTTCAAAGCTACTTTAACGTAAGTCATATAGTAGTGCTGGCTGTGGGAGCTAATTATATACAACAGAGCTACTATAGAAGAGAAGTATGATTTAAGGTAGTCACCCCTGTATTTTCAGCTTTTTACTCTAAAAATGTAAATGGAGATTTCAGGTGAGTATGTCAGTCTGTTTCTTAGGGATCTATCTCTGTAGTTTCAACGGACAACTTAAGTGAAAGACAATAGCTGAAACTATTAATAATTTTAGTATTTAGAAATTCTGAGTATCTGATGCCCTAATTCCACAGAAAAGCACTTACCTTGTAATTTAGTACAGTGGCACAATGAAACACGTTGATGGGACAATTCTGTACAGCTTCTGCCAATGCTTTCCTTCATAAAGCATTCAAGGATACTAGTAGTTCATAAATATTTTCATAATTTATGTATTTATATTAAATCTTGCAAAGACATATACACCAGCATGCCCTATGTTCAGGTAGGTGCCTCCTCAACTGCAATTATGTGGCCCAATGATGACATCCAGTGGTTAGAAAGATAAACTTAGCTATGTTTTCTCTAGGGGTGCCAGTTTTAACGCAACAAGAACAGTCTGCTCCCAGGAAAAAGCAGCTTTAACCAATTTTCTGCATAACAAATACAGAAATTAAGACACTCATTTGTCATCCAAATTAACTGTAAATACATTTTTACAATTCTAGTAGTTGATGTGCAATGTTTCAAGCAACAAGGAAAGAGGAAAAAACAGGTAAAAACACTAGCCTGTTCTTTTCCATATTTCTTGATATTCAGTTCAGACCCTCCAAGTGCTGGGAACAAATGTGTTGACAACATACTGACAGGATAGTATCTGCTCCCAAATCTGTAGCAGACATGAACAGCATCCCTGTTTTCCTTTTATTTTGACTATGCTGATTAGTCAAGATTTCTAACAATCAAACACTTTAAACCCTACAGAATTTATTATTTCGGGCATTACTCTTACCTGTCTTGGCATCTTTCCACTCTTCAGACAGAAAGGTTTTTGATTGGATAGTGTATTTAGAAATAGGGCTATGATTGTCTGTTCCACGACTCCAGGTAAGTGCTACAGCAGTGTCTCTAATTTCTTCTACTCTTATACCTCCGGGAGGGCCTGGAGGACCTGAGAAAAAGGATTGGTAGTTCAATTCACCAAGTAAATATTTGGAAAATGGAAGTTCACAAACTTTCCTATTTGTGTTTATCAGATACACGGCTTCCGAGGCTTCCGAGTCTCCCTTTCTACTTAAAAACAGACTGAAAATGTATATATACATTTTAATACTCTCCAGAGTGATTCAGAGAATAAATGCTCTTGCACCTAAAAACTACCAAATGAAACTTCCGTGATTCCTGCCTAAGTACTGGGATTTTCTTAAGAGAAAAAATGATACTTTGAAACTGTTGCTGCCTTTTTTTTTTTTTTCAAACAGCAAACTCAGAGTTAGAAAAAATACACAAAATTCTTCTTCCTAAATTCCACATAATGATGATCTTATTGGTGGCCCATGTTTCATTTATATTTCTGCTTGTGCCATACTGGCTCTGCCTGCAATTTGTATGGAAAATCTTACAACTTATATTGGACAAAGATCATACCTTGAAAGACATTTCTATAGACCTCTTCATATTTCTCTTGGTCTTCATATCACCCCAATGTGGTAAACCCATCATCAGATTCCAATTTCCTACAGACTAATGTAACCTGAGTGAAAGCAGAACTAGACAGTATTTCTCAACAGTTCAACAGAAGCCTTCCCACGACAAGAATTTCAAAAATCCATGCCAAAATGTGGAATCCACTACAACCACTGGACTGAAAGCAGTCTTGTGAATACATGGATGAAACTGAACAAACTCTGCACCAGAATAACCCTGTGAAGACCACCACCAAAGAACAGAAGCACTAAGCTGTCAAAGGGCAAACATTTTTCAGGAAACAGCTATTCCACGTCTGCCTTTTCAGTCTTGATCATCAAGAAGAAACTATAAAATAATTTCTAAAGTTTGTTTTCTTTTTCTTCAAAAGACAGATACTTGCAAAGATGCAAAGATTAATTTCAAAATTCATAGCTCTAGTGAATGTAAGCAGTTATGTACTAAATATAGCTGTTGCTTTGATGGCACATTACTATGCTCCTAACACCCACTAAATCATTACAGAAGTTGCCTGTCCTAAACTATTTCACGGTCTCATCTCTATGAGATCCTTTTCAAGGATTACATATTACTTCTCCTTGAACCAAGTATTTAAAACAACTATGTTAAAATAACAGCAATTATTTTCTATTCATATTGGGCTTTAAGTTTTTTAGTTGTACTTCAGATCTGAAGAGATATGCCTCTGCTCCCCAAACTCATCCATTTTCTTCAAGTATATCACAAAAACCTAATAAATGGTATTACACCTCTTTAGCAAACCTCATCTAGATTATTTCTGAACAATATCCGGCAAAAATAGCTGAGGTGAATACTTGAATTTTTCTAAACACATCTTTAAATAAAAAAAAATTATCTTCTCATTACTACTACTCCCACACTTCTACTTTTTGTGGGTAACTTTTTTATTGATGCTGTGCTGTGCCTTATTCCCCAGAAGAGAGGCTATCAACAGGCACAGGTGATTTTTTTTCACGGGCTAGAAAGCTAAGAAAAGAGTGATGCAGCCATGTACGTATGTCAGTATAGGCATTTTCATCTGTAAAAGACACCACAGTGTTCAGTAAGCTGTGCTAAAACCTCTCAAACTTAACAGTAATTCTGTAACCCAGTTAGTACCTACTTACAGACTTGATACATATTTTCAGAACATTCTTTCCATACTGATTGTTCTGGTTTTATTATTATGATTCTGTTATATATGATGCACAGTAATATGATATGTATTGTTGTGTAAAACCAGAGACGATACATTAGCACTATTGAGAAGTGTTTTCTGATTCCACATTCAGAGATAATAAGATGCCAACATGATTGAGGTAATTATCCTACAATCTGATTGAACAAGTCCCAGAGCATATTAAAAAAAATGAACAAGAAATAACAGGGTATTTTTATCTGCAGTATTTACAGAGAAACCACAGAAAACCAAAACAAAAACAACTCAACAATGGAATGAGATTTCTACATCAGATCTAAACAGTGTGTCAAATGTATCTTCAGCTCTTGCGGCCTTTATTTTCTCCATAAACATGAGCAAAAGGAACCAAATGAAATTAACTGAATTAAGTAAATATGCTACCATATATTGTTGTTTCTTGGTTTCAGTGAGTTTGTTTTTTTAATGAGTAAGTCCATTTCCAACTCCGAAAGTATTCAGATTTAGAGTGGTTCCTTAAAGAATATATATGTCGTTGTTTAAAAAGAAATATGCGTGACCACTCTACCCAATCTATTGGCTTATGACTTTGACAATCAAATTCATGATTGTTTCTTCTCGTAAGATCCAGGACTAGTTCCCACTTAGTATCCTTGGAAAAATACATCAGTTGACTACTTGATTGCTCATAACCAACTTCTATTAAAATTTATATCTTGGCATTGGAAAACAATCTACTCATTAGCTGTCCACAGACCTCTGTTTCAAAGCAAGGACTAAATATCTCACTGCATATGGAAATAGCCTCTTGCTTTTCTCAGATGATACACAAAGTAGGAGTTGCTGCTTTTTAAGATGAGGGTTGTTAATCAACTCACCACCCTGGTAACAGGCATAATCACTAGTCCAACTCTAAGGACTCAGGTAGGTAAGACCTGAGAGGCCTGTTCTCTTGCAAGACTGTTCACTTTAGAAGCCCTCAAGATCGAAGGTACAGAAAGGTTCTTCTGTCCCAAGATCTTTCTTTCCTTCTTGCTTTAGGAGACATCTACAGCTTCCCACCTCACTATCAAAGCTTCTGGAAATCACGTGGCAGAAAACACCAGGGAAAACACACTCAGTTGGACCTCTAAATGTCTGGAATAGAATCAGTATATTGAGTAGACTCTAAGGACTTTGTATGTTCATGCACTTCTCATTTTAATTTCTGTCATTTCTTGATGAGAAATAACACATTTTAAACAATCAGAAACACTCTGCTTGTCTAGATGAGAACAAGCCACATTTCTGTTTTACCTGGAGAGCCTTACCTCTCACCACAAGGTCGGCTGAAGCCGAGGAGTTGTCCACAATGGTCTGCGCGGTGCACGTGTACCTCCCCGCGTGCCGCAGCTGAACGTTCTTAATGAGCAGCTCACCGTTGGATTTAATCTGTCACAAAAACAGCACTTGATTGAAGAAGTTGGTAAACATCCCTGTACAGCTATGTGATACCTGTCTACAACTGATACGACAGTGGTTGCTATTTCTAAAAAGCCAGTGCTTACTTTGAGAATGCATCACCCTCAAAGATACATCTGACATATATGACAGCTGTTGAAATGTCCTGTGTTTCCTGAGGAGCTGCTGCTCTTTGCCAGACATGAAAATAACAGACCTCTTAGTAAATATTTTTTTTACAAGCCAACATCTCCTTCATACTTTTTGAAACTCATATGTGAACATTAAATTTAGTCAAGATTTTTTTCATTAACAGCAGTCAGATGATTTTCCTGTGTCATTACTTGCTTTTTTATGCATGTTGTATGACAACATGCCATGCAGTCCTACTGACAGAGCAGGACATTGTTTAGCTCTTCCTTTACAAGTCTAAAGTAGTATGAACATTTGTATGACAGAGAGGCTACAATCACAGTCTACATAAAGATGCACTAAAGAGGTACTAAGATGCAGCGGTTGTAAAGAAACAATAATGTTCAACACATCCCAGCTCCTTAGAAGAAAATCCATCCCTGTTCTGTGCAGTGGTGTTGGGCAATGGGCAGGACAATGACAGCAACCATAACCCCACGGCAGGAGGCTGGGCTGCCGGGGCTCCAGGCCAGCTCCCAGACAGCACAGTCCAGGGTGGCCCCTTCCTTTGGTGATCTGGCACAGGGTGCACACAGAGACCACCACAGTGAAGCCTCAGCCTGTAGCCCTTGCCCTGCTGGCCATGCTATCCCCAGAGCTCAGCTTTCACTGCCCTGGTGAACAGCAGTGGGATCTCCAGCGAAACAATCCATTCCACCAGGATCACAACCTCAGCATCAACGTCAGCACAGACCCTAATCCTTCCCCAGCCAACGCTAGATTATTGGAAAAATATATACCTATGTTTTCAGATGGCTATAAGGTCCACTATCTGGTGCCTCCTGTGGCTGTACAGATAGGCAAACTGAATAAAATATTTTTGTCCCATGACAATTCTGTGAACTCACTGAGTAGCTAGAAGTAGCAGAGTATAAGAGAGACCACTACATACACCACACCTGTTCTTAGTGAAAAACACATTTTATGTTCAGAAAGGTATACAAATTTTTAAAACAAACACACTTCAATATTTTGCTTATCTATCCTGTGGTTTATTCCAGAAAAAGATTATGAGGTTAAATCACAGGGTTATATGTGTGTTAGTCTTAAAGGTATTTCAGAAAAAAAATACAAATGTTGTCTCCAAAATGTATCTGATTGCTTTCATGGAAGTCAGAATGTTACAAAACATTAACAGATGGATTTATAGCAGACTATACTGAAAGGGCAACATTCAGATTTCCTAACTCACCGAATATTGCTCAGAAATACAACTTTTTTTTTTTTTTTTAAAAAAAAACCCAAATACTAAGATAACTCACTGCAATCCTGAAACCTTCACACACAGAACAAAAGGAATTCAGATGCAAAACAGTATAACAAAAAGAAATTGTTAAATATTCAGGTGTAAAAAATAATGCTATCATCATTGAAGGTTCTAGGAAACAACAAAGACCTTCAATATATTCTCAAATATTAGGGTCTGTCTTCATTGCCTCTGCATTTAAGACATTCTAGAGAAAGAAAATAAAGTTATGTCACCCAGTTTATGTTTCCCGAATGAAAAGGAGTGGGGAAAAAAGTAAGGTTAAATCTTTTCCAATTGTTCTGCAACTAGAATGCCAGTTTATATTTTGGGGAGATTAAAATAGCCAGATAAAACTACTCTTTTCCTTCCCAAACTCCAGTGAGGACTTTGGATGCCAGCTTCAAATTATGCTGGCATAAAATTTCAGCACAAACCGAAATCTGTTAATACCGATTTTTTTGGTCCAGTATAAGAATTCACATCTTTAAGAAGTCACTGAGGAAAACCATTGATTTGATAAAAGTAGCACCAAGCACACATGAAAGAAACTGCTTAATTCTGGCTCGCAACACTTCAGCTAATTGCCCCACAGGGTCAGAGAGAAATGCAGGTTACAGAGCACCTTTTCAGTTTGTGAGTGACACAAGTGCTGTTAGTAACAATCACACAGATTAGCCATATCAGTGAACAATCCAATATTCTTGATATAGTTCTGGCCATTCCTCTTATAGTTGTTATTAAAATATGTCCATTCTTTTTTTCCCCTACACTTTTTACCCAAGATTAATATGATAGGGCATTTAATTTGCCAAAGTACATGCAGGATATAGAGATGAGTCTGAGT